CTTTATCAGATCAAGGAGTTTCCTGAATACATATGCATCGCTGGCCACATTTTGCTCAACTTCTGAACAATTGGCTCGTAGAAAAAGATGCATTAAAAGCTGTGCAAACAACAGAAACATAAAGTAAAAAAACAAATTTACAAAAGAAAGAAACTAACTACAATCCTGGCCAAATCTCGCTGGGCCCCCAACCCCCCGGCCCCCTGTCAATGTTGTCTCTCATTGCGCGGTGTGTGCTCCATCAACTGGAGAGAACAACATTGACCGGGGGAGCGGGGGAGTGGGTGACCGTGAAAGGCTAAGGTTATTTCCAAGTGTCCCAACCATTTTGGCCGGGATTGTAGCTTCTAAAGCTTCTATGAGATAAAATATTTTCTCGAAGTTCGTTTTTATGAGATACATTTTGTCAAAGTTCGTTTTTATGAGATACATTTTGTCGAAGTTCGTTTTTATGAGATACATTTTGTCGAAGTTCGTTTTTATGAGATACATTTTCTCGAAGTTCGTTTTTATAAGATACATTTTCTCGAAGTTCGTTTTTATGAGATACATTTTGTCGAAGTTCGTTTTTATGAGATATATTTTACGGAGTTACGGAGTTTTATGAAGTTACGGAGCCCCTAAAGGGACATCCAAAATTATTTTTTTTATCTCGTGCGCACGACATTATATCTCGTGCGCACGATTTGCGCACAAGATAATTATGTCGTGCGCACGAGATATATGTCGTGCGCACGAGATAAGGAAATAATTTTGGATGTCCCTTTAGGGGCTCCGTAACTTCATAAAACTCCGTAACTCCGTAAAATATATCTCATAAAAACGAACTTCGACAAAATGTATCTCATAAAAACGAACTTCGACAAAATGTATCTCATCAAAACGAACTTCGACAAAATGTATCTCATAAAAACGAACTTCGACAAAATGTATCTCATAAAAACGAACTTTGGGAAAAATATATCTCATAAAAACGAACTTGGACAAAACATATACTTGATGGCACTACAGGGCTTTCGTAGAAAGGGAATAACTTCTCGGTACATATGCTTGTGTACAAGACTTAGTCTGCACACTAATGCTATGGAGTAAAACTATGAGATGAAGGACGTAATCTGACCTCTAGCTACCGTAGGTCTCGGCCAGTGGGTTAGCGGGACACACTCGCTGGGGTGTACGGGGTCACACGGGTAGGTTTTAGCGAGCCACATTCGCTAAATGCTCGGGGTCAATGTGGGCCGGATGCGAGGTAAGGTGTGTGAGGGGAATTCGCATCGACTCCGGGGAAGGGAAGACGGAAAATGGCTGAGTCCTAAGTACATGCCACATGGCGGTACATGTTCAATAGCAGTGAGTGCTACATGCATTGCGCGCTATACAATAGCGTACTGTACATGTACAATGTACTTGTACATGTGTCTTAGACTTCGTGGTAAGCTTCGCGCTGTGTGAGTCGAGGGCACACAGGATCGCTGCAAGCATTACGCTGTGCACGGAGTGGAATGTATAAACACCGACTCTGTACTTATCGCGTACGTTCATGTTAAATTTCGTGTACGTACACGATAAGAGCAAAATTGGTTTTACTCATAAGCAGCACTTACGCTTAAGTAGAATGAAACGCGTATTAATGCAATAGGCAAAAAGAACAGTTCAAAAATACCTGATTTTCTTTGGTTGTGTGCTTGAACAATACGCAAGGAAATGAGCCTTCGAGTAAAGGCTGGCTGGCATGGTACAGATGTTCAGGTCAGAAGATCTAGGCGTACTATTAAAGCTACATCAGTCTTGTTTTCGAGCGGTTTTGTTACTGGAGGTCTCAATTGAGTTTATCTGAGTAGTAACTACCATAGGACCGGGCACCCGACCAAGACCGAGAGCTCGGTATGCAAATTTTAAGTGTACAATAATCATTAACCGGTATCTACGATGTGTATTCTGCCATAAGGTGATAATTATAAAGACTAAGAGCATCTTAGGTCCGCTCCTGAAATAGGTTTCAGTTTTACTTTTAAGCTAGCTATTTAAAATACAAATCGGCAACCCTGATTTAAGGTTTTTTAAGTCAATGAAGCACCATCAGGTCATGGTTTATAAATGTGAGACCCCCCCCCCCTCTATCGTGTTTACATGGATTTGTCCTCCTCCACAGTTGACTCTAAATACGGCCTTTAATTGGATAAGGATTGTGTCAAAAGGTTATGTTTGGACGTCAAGTTGAGCGAATACCAAACGGAGAACAGAGGTGGGAATGAGGCATGATTGATAGTTAGACTGATGCTAACGTGAAATATTAATTTGTTGTCAACTGTATACCCATTTTCAAGACTTCTCGAAAACTCTTCCGAGACCAGCTGTCCTACAACCATTCACTCTGGGGACTGCACAGGTAGACGAACTTCCAAAAAGACGTCATGCACATCATCCGGGTTCAACTTTAAGGAATGAAAAAGGTTTGACTTTTTTTCCCCTTTTTGTGTGTCTCCGTGTCCCGGTTCTGGTTTTTGTATGTTGGCTGCTTTAACCAGCTGTTTGCACATAATGCGGTAATCAACAACATGTGGTTCTGTACTTCTTTTTTATGCACTTTCAAAATTGTTTTTTGTTTTCTTGTCTTTTTTTAAACCCCGCATTAAGTTAATGGAAAACAAGGATGAGCCCAAACAGGTTCCTGGGAATGAGAAATTTCATGGGGGGGGGGGGGGGACTGGGGGTGGCTGACGTTCTACCTCTCTGCCTTACAAAACAGCACAGACTAGGCCTATGTCTCACACAGATTTAAACCTACTGAACACTTAATTAAACAGTCCACAAAGTTTTGTACAATGGCTAGGGCTACAAACAATTAAAGATACCACAATCGATCCTTCTAACATTTATTTTAATAAGTAACATTAACATTATTGGTGTCTGGTGGCATGTAAGAGCAACAGAGGTGGGTCAGATATCCGGTCAACTGAAATACCCATTTCAGTAGAAGATAGCTCTGTGGGCTCTTTGAAAGAAAACTTAGCATTAAGTCAAAATTCTGGTCTGTTGGTTTTGCCTGTGTAGATTACCACTCACTGTGTCGTTTTATACTGGTCATGTACTTAACAACCTTAAGTAGACTTTGTTTGTACACATTCTACCATTTTTCCGTATCAACTCCGGACTTTATTAAGATTGCCACACAACGGTGGAATAGTCTTGATTGGCGATGGTCATTTTGTTAACGTAGTCGTTGGTATCGCAACATGAATTACTGGAGAAGAGATATCTGTATCACACAAACATCTGGAACGTTTTTGGTTTGTTTGGATCAAGATTCATAAACTTGCCCAGTCCCTCCGAGTCAGCCTACAAAATAGTCGATGTTGCGCCCTCTACCGGTGATTAATACAAAAACAGCGTGGCTAATCAAGATACGGTGGAGCATCACTGTGATGATTGGGGAAAACACATTCAATCACCCCAAAAATATATTTTGCTGAGTATTGACCGAAGACTTCAGTACTGGTACAAGTACGAAGGTAGACGTACAAGGAGACTTTTATTCTACAGACCACAACCATGCATTTTTGGGAATGCTGTACAAATTAACTAAAGTCAATCGAAGTTTAAGGTCCTTATTGCATAGAGTTTAATGCCGCGAGACGGTTTCCACACTGAAATCATTCATTACTGGAGAAGAGAGTTCTGCTAAATTAGTTGCATGTATCGATGCGAATTGTGGTCCTTTTTCGAAACCGTGACTTTGGCCTGGGCTGTGGTCCCGTCACTCCCCGTTAGGTCTCACTCAAGCTTGTATTTGTACATGCTATCACACACGCCAAGGTCTACACAAAATTAAAGATTTCCCATACAGCAAAATGCATGCGTCGGGATATGGGTGAATTTTGTCTAATAGAAAACAATGAAACTACACAAAACAAACTTAACGTAAATATCGGATTCAATTTATTGCCATTATAGTGAACAGTCAGTCCAATCCAAAATTACGAAACCACCACCCAATAGCACGGAAACCGAACCTCGTGTTAGTAGATTATTTTGTGGCTTTTTCCAAGTATTCAAATAGACCATGCAGTATCAAGCAATATTGCGCAGTACGATCTCAGTGTTATCAAAATTACTTTGCATTCTTGTGATTTAACTCTGACTAGTAAATTATGGTCTTAAATGAAGCTTTTCTCTGTAATGCATCCCCAAAAGTCCCCGAATTCCCAATGACAAAACTTAATCATATAAAACTAAACTGTCCAACAATTTTTCGCCACCAGCTCTAAAGAGTGAGATAATTGTGACGGGGGACAACACTGAGGATCTTCAAGTTTAGATGAAAAATGTTCTGTTTTTATTCCTCATCAGTGGCCGCATGGCAGCAAAGCGCAGCCAGCGCTGTGAAACTTTCTTTAAATCGCAAGACTTTACAACATGCGTGTGCTCTTGATGGTGGCTAATACAAAACTGAACAAAGCTTATACCACAGGATGTTGGCCAGTGCCTCACATTCCTGGGCAGACCACATAGTAGGGATTATGAATAGACAGTCATTGCTAAAGAGGTGATAATGAACAAAGTAACTAGTGTAGAAAAGCTAGAGTCTATCTAATGAATAATAATAAGGTACATGTAGTCAGGCCTCCTGCCTGGAGGTAATTACTTTTCCAGAAACTTGGAATGTGTGGTTGACCCACCCAGGGCCAAAGGACAAAGTTTCTCATGGTGGTTCTTAATAAATGAACAAAAATATAACATGTACATAAAACAATGTAGATAATAATAATTTCAATACTTGGAAAATATGAAAACAATCCAAAACTTGTGAAAAAGCAATCCCGCGTACCGACTATTGGGATGTAAAATATTAATAAAACTTTCAAAAGAGATAGGAAAAGCAAAGGTGCCAAAAAAGATATGATTGAAATATGCTTCAAATATTTCACCTGTTACATAATGTTTAAAATAAGGTTAATAAGACCTTATACTATAAATGGCCTGTAACTGTTTTATATTTCTTAATCGAAGCATTATTGCGTCTAGCTGTAGCAAAAATGTCAAACCCTCAACACCTTCCAACAATCTGACCCACTCCAACGTCCCACACAGTTGCAAGAAGGGCAGTGTCGGCTCATTGGTCTGTACAAAGTAACGGTACCAAACCAATGGATAATTTTGAGGCGTACTAAGGACACAAGAAGCGAACCTCGTAGTCAAAGCAGGACTGTCCGGAAGTTTGGTCAGCATTGAGGCAGACGAGTCCCTCAGAGGGAGTACATTTAGTTTTGAACTCTTGACCGGAGTCGCTCCAGTTCTGATTGGTTCCCCGGACGCGGCATTGGATGTCAATTGGCTCTTTACTGGAACACTGGGTTGACAAAATTGAGGAATTTGACAAAGTAAGAGATCATGATAGGACAGTTTATCTCTAGAAGGGCACAGTCAAGCTGTCACGAAGTTCCATAGGCATTGCAAGTGGTATCAAAGCAAACTCAAACTAAATGTAGAAGTTGAAATAAACTAATCTAAGAGACAGTCCTTGTGGCAAGAGCGACAGTTTCTACAGGACATGTAAATGAATCATAAAACTTGTTTTTGTAGTTCGGAATTGTTGCCTTTGCTGTTGCGCAACCGTGCATTTCAGTAAGAATAAAGAACCAAAATCCGGCTATGGGACTGAGCAAAGATTTAAGCAGGTTGATCTCCACCTTCGAAGCCGGCAGGAACCACAAGCATAAACTCCAGTCTGGGATACTTACCGGGTTGAGTCCAGAGGGTCCCACGTGCTCCCAGTCACCGGTAAGGTAGGGATTGTCTCGGTTCTTCCAGGACGTCCATCGTGCCGATGATGTCCAGGTACCTAGTCACGTGACAAATGGTGAAACAAAATGGTAGGCACACCATGTGAGACAAAGGGTCATAGTAGTTAAAGGCAAAAGTGGTGACCAACCTGGGGGCAATTTAATAATCATTTAATTTTTCTGACGGGGCTTCAGATTGCTCACGAACCCATTTTGCTGACATTTTCACACTTACCTATGTTTGGGCACTTGAACCTGACATCGTAATCCTTGCATACTTCTGTGTTCACCTCTGTAGTACAGACTAGACCGGTGTCCCAGTTGCAATCGTAACCGGTATCGAATGCATCTCCAGTAGTGTAGTAGGCGTTTAGGTTAGATATGTCACGGCATTGGGTACACATTGGGCGAATGCCATTGCAGATGTTGTCGCCATTATAGTTCTGCAAACCAATTTTTAAAATGAATCTCATTTAAACATTTGTCGTTATTGACTCCGGCCAAGTTACTAGACTTTCCGACTTGGTGCAGGATTTTCATAAAAGTACATTTAGCTTCTTATTGCATACTATTTATCTTAATGCAAGCTCACCCTAAACCCCCATACGTTTTCCCAGTCCCCGGACCCAGAAGGATTATCTCTGTCCTTGAATTGCGTCCAGGTAGAGGCTAAAAACAAAAGGGAGACAAAATGATCAAAATTAGTGCATCTACTATTTGTGCAAATCCGGGTCTGCGTCACGCCCATCCTCGCAAGGTCTGACACATGCGCACAAAACAATCCGTGAGGCTGGTCCTCATGCACTATCTCCACATAAAGCCCTGTAGACTAACAAGTTATCATTGAACTTTTATTTATTTATTTGGGTTTCGTTTGCAGCCCCAACATGGCAAAGGTAATCACGCTGAACTTGCCTACATTCGCGGTATTGTACATTGTGCAAATAATAAACACCCACCTGTAGACGGACACAGATATCTGATCTCGTAGTCACTGCACGAGGCGCATGAGGATTGGTCAGTGTTTTTGCACACCACGCCCTCTGTCGGTAAGCAATGAACGTCCAGGGTATCCGGCGCCGATCCAGTCCAACGGGTGAACACGCTTGCAGATCCCTTCACCCGGCATTCCGCAGCGATCGGTTTACAGCCGCCACAGACGTAGCCTAGTTTCTAGAAGGAAAAAAGACTAATGAAAAACTAAAAATCCCAACTTGAAAATAACTTAAACCTCCGGGGAAGGGTTCAAGCAAAATCCTTGGGAGGAATCCGTGTACTTTAGCTGCAGGAAGAATGCCTTTTTATTATTATTAATGCTTTACATTAATTTGTGAAGTTGACTTTTATTCAGACTCGTTACTGTTAGACAATAATCATAATTGTCCTTATGGAGTGTTTCAAAATTAAGGTCTAAAATAACTGAATCTAGTTGTCAAACTAATTACTATAACTGTTTGCACCTGGATAACTACACAAAAGGCTGAACAAAATTTGGGAGTAGCTTTTTTCCCTAAGTTGATCCTTTTAATTGATGTGAAATGCTATGGGATATGGGCTCATCTTGAAGAACGGAGTAAATTCATAATTGTGAGAGAGTTATGTATATACATGTACTTATTGGTTTTGCTGAGACGGCTACTTCCCAGGTGGGTATGAACAGCACTCGTCTCGCCATTATGGATTAAAGATTTTAAATCTCATAAGAATTCAACAGATCCACGGAGCTGCACGTTTGTACATAACAAATAATAATTTCAAGCCGACAGGGCAAAACGAAATGACAAGGTGAATCAATCGTGCGGCGGTGCTGGGTCAGTGAAGTATGCCATGTTCACCTAGTGTCAAAGAGACGAGCAATAGGCCTACCTAGGAACAGTTACCTTTTGATCACGCAGTGTCTCCCAGTCTCCCGTACCTGATGGGTTATCGCGGTCATACCAAGCCGACCAAATGTGACCTGCATTAGATGTAACCAGACATTAATGTTAACCTCTTTATTACATATTTATGCTTTTCATGTAGAAAACTCTCAGACGTTTTTTGTCGGCCCGCTCGTACTCCAACCCATGTTCATGTATGCCAAACTAAAGGTACGATGATGATGGTCCTTCCCCAACCTTAATAGCTTCAGAAGCCACTGCGATGTCTACGATTTTACTAGCGTGTTAAGAAGACGCCATTTTCAAGCTTTTAAAGTCTCCATTCAAAGATTATTATATTATTTGAGGTTCATATTTTTGGTTAGGAATATATTTAAAGCCGGATAAAAAATCAAGTAAAGGGACACAAATGGGAAGCAAGTAGTGGAAAGTAATTTGTGGGAGTCTTATTAGCGTAACTGACCTTGAATTGATTCCACAGCCAGTATACAACAAACCACAAAAAGGGCGGTCTTCATCTTCAGTTCTACAAATAAACCAGAAATGACAAACAAACTGATGAAGTTCTGGCAGCAGCAGCTGCAACAACAACAACAACAACAACAACAACACCACCACCAACATTTAACAACATTTAACTAACAACATGGTTGCCTACAGATGGACACCCAGTCTCAGATCTCGATAAAAAATACGCGTCCTGCCAGCCCCCCCCCCCCCCCCCAATTAATGCTAATCCCCCTTTGCCACAGGGAACTGTCAGGTGTTCCAACACCTCCAAATGTAGACAACACATCAGAGAATCGGACTCCTTCACCAGCCATACCGGTGGTAATACCCATAAGACAAGGGGTCATGTCACCTGCACCACCACTAATCTAATCTATTCAATATCTTGCAAAGTATGTTATGTAAGGTGAAACAAGAAAGTGAATAATAACTAAGAATCATTTTTTGTCTTTGCCTTCTCCTTTTTACCACAGATACGCTAGATCGGTTAGTCTTACTTCAGAAAAGAATGACAAATTTACAATTGATTCAACAAAAGTCAATATGAAGAATTCCAAACTGTAAAGGAATTCAAAGAAGGACGACTGATTCGTGTAGGGCGTACTCCATATAATTACAAAATCGGTGGTCATACCAATTAGGCTTCAGAATTAAAACTGTCTCTTCATAACATACCAAGCTAAAAGGGAGGCAAGAACAAAACAATTATTAAACGTATTTAATTTGTATTTAAATAACAGACTTTGCGCTGCATAATTTATACCCAACGAATCAAACCTGTAAAAGATAAAACGTTGAGATACAAAAGTATCAACGCGCAGAAAGTTTGCTTTACCTGTTTGAGATATTCTTTCGAAACCAGGTGGTCCTCTCTTGCTCCCCTCGCTGACGTTTCTGAAGTTGGTCTCCCCAGCTTCGGCGACGACTTAAATACAATAAACAACTTGTCCATTCTACAATCTGATTGGCTAAACGAGGAGTGACGACGGTATCATGTCAACTCGGACCCAAACCAAGTCGGACCCATGCCAAGTCGGACCCATGCCAACTCGGACCCACGCCAACTCGGACCCACGACCAACTCGGTACCACTACCAACTCGGACCAAAGCACGACCAACTCGGACCCAACAATGACTCAATCATTAGTTTTAGAGATTATATTTTTTAGGTGATCTTAATGCTAGTGCTTATAAAGTGAAGATATTCTGTAACTACATTGGGCAGAATGGGGCTTTTAGTTTTGTTGTTTTCTTGTATTGCCGCTGTGTGGAGCGGTATTTTATGATGCGTACAGTAAATACTGTTGCTAAACGCTTATTGTTTTGAACGTCATGAAACTAAACGTGCTTAGCTTTTTGAAACCGTGACCTGTGAAGCTAAACCAAGAGGTATTAATAGCGTATAGTATAGGTTAGGCATATCGTATGTCATTTGTACAACTTGATATATACGTGCTTTTTCAAAATCTCGATTTTCTTTTCCAAACGAAAATCAAAGGATTATAATTTTCTAAAAATTAATGTGGCCTGACGTTGCGAACTTAGCAGAACTTGCTAAGTTCGCAACGTCAGGCCACATTAATTTTTAGATTTATATATTTCAGGTCCATCCAGTCAGTAAGCAGTTTGCAGCAGTCTTACTTTTTTTCAGATTATAATTTTCAGTAAAAAATAAATTACTTGTTTGTTTTTGCAGGCCTTTGTGTCGTGTAACAAGTGGTTTTAAGTGGCACATTTTGTTTCAGTGAGGAAGTTATTAATTTAAAATAACTATTTGAGCCTTTCATTTCATGTAATTGTTTGGGTTTTTTTAATTCACATGCTGGCTTTGAATTTTGTGGGGTTTTTATGAATCTGTTTAACTTTTAATAATTTTTTGATTTAACTCCCCCCCCCCCCCGTGGAACATCATAGTGGAACATACAGGCAGCTACCTGTAAGGCCTTGAAGGATAATCTTCCCAGAGCTCCAATACTCCTTTTTGATGATTGACATTGCATCTATTTGTAGGGGATTAAACTTGATCATTTTTTAATTCACATGCTGGCTTTGAATTTTGTGGGTTTTTTTTACGAATCCGATTACAAATGTAACTTTTTATGCTCTTTTGATTTAACTTTTTTGTTTAATATGGAACCTTTATTTTATTTATTGATTTCTAATGTTTACTTATATTTATTGAGTTAATAATGTTATGTTTGAAAGTGTTTGTTTTAATGCCATACTTTCCAATTTTATTTTTCTATGAAGATCTGTTCTTAATTTGTATACTCGTTATGTTGAAGTTTGGAGTAAAAATGAAATAAATTGCTGTTAAATTTAGCAAGATGGTGTAAACGATGTCAATAAATATGTTTGAATGAAAATAAATAATTGGTTAAACTTTTAAAGCATAATATGTTTTAATGGAAACAAATAAAAATAATAAATAATTAATTACACTTTTAAAGCGCATTTCAAAATAGCATTTTAATGCGCTTTACAACGACAAAAATGTTATACTGCTGCAATACAGACATGACAGATATGAGATAATTTACCTTACAATTACAATGAAAATTTATACTAAACAGCATCACTGTAATAACAGATGAGAAGTGGACAAACTTTATGAAATGAATGATTGAAAACGATGTCGAATGATTGAAAACGATGGGTCCGAGTTGGTCATGCATGGGTCCGAGTTGGTAGTGGGTCCGAGTTGGTTGTGGGTCCGAGTTGGTAGTGGTTCCAAGTTGGTCGTGGGTCCGAGTTGGTAGTGGGTCCGAGTTGGCATGGGTCCGAGTTGGCTTGGGTCCGAGTTGGTTTGGGTCCGAGTTGGATCGAAACCGTGACGACATACCAGGATATGGTTTGGTTCAAGGCTGAATAGCAGAAGCCTCTCGTACGTGCCAGGCCACGCAGTCAACTGATCTCACTAAATAAAAAGCGGCGATCTCTTTCCAACGTACATTGTTGACTTAAGATGTGAAGAATATTCAAGGACACACTGCAATATTTGGGACAGGTTCCCACCGTGGATTTTTCTAGAAATCTTAAAATCAAGACTTCTTGTAATCCGAAATCCAAAAGAGGGCACACTTGGTAAACTTTCAGAATGAAAATGTCACACAATGTGAAATTAGCAATTATTACTTCGGGAATAATTTTACCAACCACATCAAAACCGGGCAAACGTTGGCAATGTGAAGTTTCTAACTAATTTTAACTTGTCTTACTACATTCAATGATACGGAATAGTAGTGCCGCATGAATGTGAAAATCTGGACTAATCGGCGTACACCCTCACACAGCTCTGTATTGCAGTTACTCTGTGGACATTCCTTTGTTCTATACATTTAACTTTTAAGGAAAATCCTATTCCTCAACACTGTAAATAACAGTGTGGACGTGCGAACAATTACATAATAGTGTTTCAAGTCTCAACACATATATGTATCGTTAAAACATTCTCACGGATCTGGTATGTGTGTCCCAAGTGCATTGTTCAAGTATGAGTGGGCACATTTATGATTATCAATGGTAAATCTTAACTTTGGGCACGTTGTTAGCCACATAATTGGGGGTAAGTGCCCGAAGTTGTGTGTGTGTGGGCATGTGTTGCCCAATAATGATAAGGGTCAGGTGTGCCCCAAGTTTTGTATGTGTGGGCATGTGTTGTCTAGGGGTCAGGGTGTGTGACCGGAAAGCCAAACACCCCTTTTCCGGCATCCGGCACGAAATAATTTGTATGTGGTTGTTGACAACAAAAACTCCTTTCAAGACTATGGCGTTCAATCACAAGAATTTGTCTGCTTGTTTCCCTATTGAACATGACTATAACACACTGTTAAACTATTATTTAACTAAACCCAGATGAACTCAGTGATAAAGAACTATTGAAAAACAATTCGAAAAGTTAAACCATAAAAAACCGTAGTGCCAAAGAAAGTTACGTATTCAAAATGGCTTTAAAATCGAGTCCATAGCAGTATAAAGCTTGAAGCAGGCAAAACTTAGAGCATGAAGCAAAAATCAAAACTTGCGCTGCCAGGCTGCTATCTGAAGTCAATTACAGGGGTGACTAACCACACCGCCATGACTTATGCAAAATGTCAGAAGGGAGGGGCTGCGGACGTTCCTCAATTCCCACAGTAATAATAATCAACAAACACCTGGCTGGCTGAAGCATTTAAAAACTCACTTAAAATCCAAGATATCAAATATGGTAGTATATTGTTCAACATGACCTTGTCGCTCAACAGTGTTTGCATGTTCATTTGCTGCATACTTCAGTCGATACGAGTGGATCCTCGTTCGTTTCTTCACACGCCATCTGAATGAGGTCAAATCTCTAGTGTAATTGTTATGTTTGGTCAATCAAATGCAGCTTGGTCTTGACACTTTTCATTAAAAATTGTGTCTTTTTTATGAAACTGGTAAACCATTATGGCTACAAATAATTAACAATTGACCAATGTTAAAGAGGTTCACCTTCCAAGATTCTTATACTTTTTCTTAAAACTTGAAAAAAGGTGGGGCGCGAGTGTACTTTCCTGTTGTTATTATTATTATTTTTATTTTATTATTTATTGTTATGTTAGGTATTAAAGAACTGAAGACACTAAAGCCCACTGACTCTCTTGCCAAGAAGTCATCAGTATAGGCTTAATCATTTAACTGGGAAATTGTGATTCATAAATAGGTTTTGGTTTCCTTCTGTTTTAAAAGTTCCAATTCCATTATCTAGCTGTTACAGAATGAAATACAAATCGATTGATTGAAGTTTCTTAGGGACTTGTCACACTAGGCACTTTTTCCAGGCAACTTGGAGGCAACCAACTGCAGTGCATGCTACAGGACCACTTCGAGTATTTTTTCAAACAATGTCTTATGATCCCTAAGAAAAATATGTGAACATTGAAATGTGAATGCCTTTTCTTCTTGGAGATTGCCTGGGACTGGTTGCCTGTAAATTGCCTCGTGTGACATGGGCCTTAGAGTCAACTTGGGTCTTGGTTTTAAAATGACACCCCCCCCCCCGACCCCCATTCTTCTCATTGTGTTTAATGCCTACATGTATTTGTCTTTACCCACAGTTATAATAGCCCTATACGGCCTTTACTTGGTCAAGGACTGTGTCACGAAGGATGTTTTATGCGTCAAGTCGAGCTGAATACCATACGGAGGAGAGCTTAGAGAAAGGGCGCGACCTGATCTCCAAGATAGTGTACAGGATCCAGGATCCAGGATCCAAGATCCAGGATAACTTGTACAAGTACAACCCGAGACCAGCTGTCCAGGAGAACAAATTGCCCAGGGTCATGATGTACATCCGGGTTCAACTGGACCAGAAAAAGGTTTCAATTTGTTTCCTTTCCTTTTGTGTGCTTGTCCCAGTTCTTTTTTCTATCTTTTTTTCTTTTCTTTTGGTTGCCTTTACCAGCTGTTAACACATAAAGCAGTATTTATAACACGCGGCTTTGTACTTGTGCTGTTCTTTTCATACACAAAAGTGAAAATTATAAGTTTGTTTAACCCTTCATAAGGAAAAATAAGGATTAGCCAAATTTAAAACAAAAATACAAGTATTATAAGCATCCAACAAAGAAAGGCACAAATGCAAGTACGCCCTACGTCATCTGTTGACACGGTTCAATGTCGCAGAGTTGCCAGTTCCTGTGCGTCACTCTGTCACTCTTTACTGCAGCCATTTATCGAGTCCCGGAGATCCATTATCACAACTGACCATGGGTCTGGCCCGAACAAACTTTTTGTAGTGCCAAATCAAACGTCAGTTTGGGTGAGGTATTGTGCAGTGTATCGGTTTATGTGGCTCCCCCCCCCCCACCCCCTCTTCTCCCTCACCCCACCTCTGCAGGCAAAAGGGGTGAATTGAATCAACTAGGACAATGTGTTCGTCGCCATCAGTATAAAATTCTTGC